TCAGGGAAATCCGCTGGTGGGCTGGGACAGTTTGTTTACTTGCAGCGCCCGCAGGCTCGGCCGATCGCAGTTCTCAATGGCCATGGTTTGCCATTCCAGGCCAATGGGGGCTGTGAGAAGTAGTGGACAGCACGTTCCTCGGCCCACGCCACTTCCCGCAGCCCCCATTGGCCTGGAACGGCAAACTGCGGCCAGTGGGAGCTGCGATCAGCCGAGCCTGCGGAACCTGCAAGTAAACAAACTGTCCCAGCCCACCAGCGGATTTCCCTGATGGGCCGTGTGCCAAAGGTTGCCGATCCCTGTTGTAGACTGAGAGAGAAAGATGCAGGTAAATTTGTCCCTGCTTTCAGGTTAGGCATATCTCCATTGTGTGTAAATAGCAATGTTTTTTGTTCAGTTCAGCTGCCAGTCTTAAAAGGACTACTGACAAGATAGAACACACCTGGGTGCATTTGCCTGTCTGATGTAATAATGGTTTGCTCTTTGTGATCCAGGTGTTCAACAACGTTCTGCAGGAGTGTGGCTTGCAATGTGATGGGGCCTCAGCCAAGCCCCAGAAACTGGAAGAAAGAGTCAAAGTGACTCCTAGTGCCATGCCTCTCCAGGTGGAGTTATTGCTGTAACCTTTCCCTTTGTGTACATCATTTTTTTTTGCTAAGCTAACCACAGACTGTTAACCCCGCATTGAGATCCCAGATACTTAGGTCTCATTCAGCATATGGTTCCTAGTCATTGTTTCAGTGCTTATCATGTGACTCAGAGTTCTGTATTCTTTGTTCTTCTATTCATTTTGGGTTGCCTTTCCCCCCATAAATGCTGGTATGACCAGGTGTGGGGTTGCAGTTGGCTAAGTGTCCGGGAGAGGGGAACAGCAGGGAGAGCACACATTCAGTCCTGGTGGTGGAGGAGTGCAGGTCTACCCCAGACTCTCACCACACTAACCTATCCTATCTCCTAGAACTGGAAGGGACCTTGAAAGGTCATTGAATCCAGCCCCCTGCCTTCACTAGCAGGACCAAGTACCAATTTTACCCCAGATCCCTAAGTGGCCCCTTCAAGGATTGAACTCACAACCCTGGGTTTAGCAGGCCAATGCTCAAACTACTGAGCTATCCCGCCCCTGCAGTCACTTCCTCCCCTCTCTTACTGCTGGGGACTCCCTGCATGCTGTCCCCATTGTTACCCTGCCCACATGGCCCAGATACCTGACTGGCTACAGCTCCATGTGTTTTTAAACTCTCTGATGGCTGCAGGAGTGAGGGGCTCTGGACATGAGGAAGGGAGAGCGAAGAGCCATAGTGTCCTCTGGGGATGAAGCCAGCCATTTCCTGCTGCCACCTGAGTGTGAGCTGTCTGCTCCCCTCAATCACTTCCTGCTCTGCATGGGTGGACATTGGGGGTGAGGTGGGGGGCCTGTTATGTGACTCCCAGGTAGAAGGGGGAGCACAGCAAAGAAGTTTGGGAACCTCTGATATAGAGGAATCACTTCTGCTGCCACTGAAAGTGGACCATGTCAGCTCTTTAAGTGCAAACACTAATGCTGTGCAACCATTTAGGATAGAAGGGGGAAGAATACTGTATCCAGCTGGACTTCTAGAGGGACTTAATGAGGTAAATTGCCATTATGCAAAATGGGCTTTGGCCAGGGCCCCCCTAATTTAACAAAAGTGCCTTGGAAACTTTAATGAGCATAAGTAGTCAGATGCTTTCATTATGCCTTCTGAGGGAGAAAAGGTCTAGTATAGATGTGGCCCTAAATATTTATGGACTGTCTTATTTGTGCCATGAGTGACACAAAGAAGAACTCTCTTCCCACCCTCAAAAGGGCAGCTTTTCCGTGAACTCAGTGCGTTAGCACTAGTCTCCGAATACTAGGCTGCCAGGACAACTCGATGTGACTTTTTCCTCTCTTTGGATAATGAATAGTTCTTTCTCTACTAGGCACTGAAGGATATCGTGCTGTACTTGTGTGACACGTGCACCACCCTTTGGGCCTTTCTTGATGTCTTTCCCCTGGCCTGTCAGACCTTTCAAAAACATGACTTCTGTTACAGGTACGTTTCTAGTCTCTGACAGCTTGGCTCAGTGGAGTATAAATGCCGAGTGTGCTGTTTTGTCCTTTCCCTTTACATTTATCATTAAAAGAATAGGCTGCTCAGTTTATTCTGATGGTAGAGTAGTCTTTTGGTGAATAAAACAGGTCACTACAGAGGATGCCCAGAGTTTCCCGAATTGAGGATTACCTTGGCAATTTGCCAGGAGGCTGGGTTGTATCTAATTTCCATACACTGGACCAGATTGCAGCCGCTTCCTCAGTAATATTGCAGTGTGTCCTATAAAGACTTCAGGTTTTAGCACGCCATCTTGATCTGGGTGGAGGCAGCACTGTGTACTGGGATCGGTGGTCTCTGCAGGCTGTCCCTTTAACAAGGATGTGGGCAGCCACACACTAAGTTAGTCACTTTGGCCACAACTGCATTGATTGTGGATATTAACGATGATGTAGATTTAAAAATATGGCTTATTACATTTGGTAAGATAAGAGGTTTTAAGCTCTAAGAGGTGTAGGTTGCTGGAGGGGTATCCCCATTGTATGTGGTCATGCTATTGATGGTAGTCAGATTATTGGACTGGTGGTGAATGTTTAGACTGGCCAAACAGCTGCACTATGGTGTTTGGTAACCCAAAGGGAAAAAGTAATTGCTTTTAGTTCTGTTGTTGTTGTCTGAAATACACTAAAATGGCCCTGCCCTCTTTTAAGGGGACAGCTGCATTTTATTAATGCACTGTCAATCTGGACTAATCACTGGTCCTTTGGGGTATGGCAGATGAATACTGATTTGCATGTGTCCCTTTCTGAGAATCTATAAGGTTTCTAAATCAGCCTCTTGTCACTCTTGCTAATCGTCTGTCTCCTGACCTAGAAGTATGAACTGGTTTCTGCTATGTTGTTAAATTGGTGTCCTTGAGGCATGTTGACATCTTGATATGAGACCAATTATGAGCAGTGTGTGTGTATCCTCTGCACACCATTTTGCAGTCTTAGCCTCTGTACAAAGAACTATAAACCATCAGTTGTAAACCCCTAGCAAATCATGAAGCAAACCCAGTTGTTTCTTGGTGTGGGCATGTATATCTGCATCCCATGATGCTTTGTCTCTAGGTAAAAATGGTATGTATGGGCTGTCTGGCTCTCAGAACCTGGTACTAGGCCAAAGTGGCTCCTTTGTTCCCTCCCTCCTTTCCCGAGCCCAAAAGGAGCATGTGTTCTCTCTCCCTGCAAATGGGACCAAGCATGTCTGTCATCAGCCTAAGTCTGTGTAAGAGGAGATCTCACAGCAGTAAGAAAGGAGTTCAGTTTGGGTGCATCAGTCTGTCAACTCTTCATGGGCTGCAGATGTGAGTGCAGGATGCTCTAGAATAGTGCAGATCGTTTGCCTAGTCAGCAGCAAGATGCTTTGAAACCATCTCATTTGGCTACAGCTGTAGTGTAAGTGCTGAACAGATCCTTAGGGAGCTGCTGTTTCTGGGAATAAACTATAATGAAACAAGGGTCAGAGCTGGAACTGCTAGTAATTAGAGACTGGAGATATCAATATCAAGGTTCCCATTTGATTTGTCTTTTAATGAAGCATTTTAAAAACATCTATTGACAGTTCTTGTTTTATTACATGTTTTTGCAGACTGGCTTCATTTTATGAACTTGCAATTCCTGAGCTGGAATCTGCAATTAAGAGGAGGACATGTGAGGATAAGAGGTAAAAAGTGGCAGAGAAGGTTTGCCTATTCTTTTCAGAGAGAACCACCCCCACAGTAAATTAAAACATTCTTTCCCCTTCCACATCCATGCCCTTAGTCTCTCTCTGCCTTCCTTGGCTTCTTCTCAAGAGTCCCGAAGAAGAAGCTTTTCTGACTTCAAAAAAGCCTCTTTCCCACCTGGTGGGATTTTTAATTACCGTATATACTCGTTCATTAGCCCATTCGTTTATAAGCCGACCCCCCAAGATGGTTAGGTAAAAATAGCAAAAACGGTATGACCCTTTCATAAGCCGACCCTATATTTCAGGGGTTGGCAAACTTTGGCTCCTGGCCCATTAGGGTAAGCCGCTAGCGGTCCTGGACGTTTTGTTTATCTGGAGCGTCTGCAGGCACGGAGCCCCTCAGCTCCCAGTGTCCTCAGCTCCCAGTGTCCGCAGTTTGCCGTTCCCAGCCAATGGGAGCTGCGGGAAGTGGCACGCCACTTCTCGCAGCTCCCATTGGCTGGGAACGGCAAACCGCAGCCACAGGGAGCTGAGGGGCTCTGTGCCTGCAGGCGCTCCAGGTAAACAAAACGACAATGTATTAGATATTCAATTCAATGATTCCAGAGAGTTTAAAATCATCAAATTTTGGTGTAGACCCCTTTATAAGCCGACCCCTGCTCTTTGATGCATCACTTTTTTACCAAAAATATTCAGTTTATGAACAAGTATACATGGTAGATAGTTGTAGGACACTCATTAAAAATTCTTGTTTTGTTTACTCTTAAAACAGGCTCCAATTTATTTTTAAAGGACTACGGTCAACCTAAAATCCAGCCTATTTTTAACAATGAGTTAAAGTTTCCAATACTATACCTACTCTCTAGTATCCCTGTAAAAAACTGTGGTTTTATAGTCCTATTTTCCAGTGCATTTGTCTTTTCCTTATGGTATGAAAAACCCACAGGAAAAATAGGGGAAACTGGCTGTACAGGTTAAACCAAAAAAACCTGACTATTTACCCAGTGTAGGCACATTAAAAAAAATATATATATATCTTTCTACTCTCTTGTTCATAACAATCTCACATGTACCTTGTAGAACAAGTAACGAAAATTTCTAGACAAACATGACTAAACTTAAAGGGACACTGTCAATTTAGTCAATTTTAAAAATCTAATTTGAACTTAAGTTTGTGTTAGACATGTGTAATTTACTTTGAAAGGATTTTATTTATTGGCAAGTGAAGAGTACCCATTAAGGCCACCTAAATGAAGTTGCCATCAGTACTTACACAAAGGCAGAACCATTGCACTACAACAGACTTCAGTACCCTACGCAGCACTAACCTCAGCAAAGGACCTCTTTGCTCATATTAGTGGTATATCCTTATCACTATCAAAAGCTTTTAAAAAAAAAAAAAGAAAGAAGATTTTCCTAAGAATTCCCTCAAAGTGGATGGGACCAAAAAAAAAAGCCACAAAAAAACAACCAATCCTCCAAATATTAATGATTAACCTGTTGAACTGGAGAAAGTTCACCTCCCAATGACTTCATAAATATCTGCTTCAATTACCTTTGGTAAATGAAATAACCAATCAATCATTCATTTTCTGATATAGCTGTAAAACTAATCTGAAAAGTTTTCAAAATAAATCACTTAAAAAATGTATACTGTGTACCTTCTAAAAATGAAACCTACATCTCTCTGAGTTGTGAAGAATATGTATTAAGGTTATAACAACCAACAAGAATGCACTTTTATGTAGAAATCCATGATTAAATCAAGTGTTCCTTACTAGCGATTTAAATCATGATTTAAAACAAATCCACCCTGGTCGGCATATTAAACCAAAAGCTTCTTATTTCTCTCTCTCTCTCTTTAAAAATAAATAAATAAGGTCCTGCAACATCAGTCCCTATAAACTACTGACGCTTGTGCTGTTGTACCAAGATAGGAAATAGTGAGCAACTGCGGATAATTGTTAAATATCGTAACTTAAAAGCTACCTTAGTCATTTAGAAATGGGTGCAGCTGGGCAACTTTTGGGTAGCATATTTTGAAAGCACAGTAGCTGTATGAAAATTGTTACACAAGCATGAATGAATATAGCCCAGATACCATAATACTAAATCCAAAAAAATAACTAGTTTTGTGGCATAATGTTTTCCCTCATTAATTAAAAAAATGACTCTTCAATTTTGTCTGTAATTATTTTTTAGTCAGCAGCTATCTCAACACTCTTATCCCAAATGTGTTAAGAAGCTTGTTTTACCATACCTGGAAGACAAGCCAGACAGAGCTTTCTTGAGAATTTCTGGAGTGCTGTCTGTTGATGGGGGCACTTCTGGAATATCTGAATCATTTCTGAGATCTAGATCTCCACACTTTTCACCCAAAACTACATCCTATGACAAAGCACATAAAAGAATATTGTTTAAGCTTCCAGAAGGTAGTATATGCTTACTCTCAAAGATTCATTTGGCTGGTGACATGGAAATACCTGCTTCTAAGAAAATGTAAATGGCAGATCAGCAAAACTACAGACCTTTAGGCAGAGTGAAACTTGGCTTACTGACTATGTACTTATACAGTTCATAAGAAGGTAAATTATTCACGTGCTGTGATGGTACCTGCCACCTTCAAGTAGTCTCACTCTCAAGGATCCTTCTCTGTATCCATAAATTTCTCAGACACATCTACATAGACTGAAAAATTTGCAATCTAACTCTCTAGCTGTGACCAATAATCAGCTTCTTACAGATGACAGGTTAGCTTTCTAAAGACAATATTCTTCCCAAAAGAAATCAGTAGTAGTAGTGGCTTATTTATTTTGATTTATATACTACAAGAACACCCACATCTTTATCCAAGGCTCTGAGGATCAAGGTGCCTTACTTCCCTGGAGCAAGTCCCACTTCAACAGCAAAAACAGAAGGCACGCAGTCAGTCTCTAGCTCAGCATGTCCGCTATCTTTCTGACCTCATCCTCTCACATCAGCTACACACAATTTTGATTCCATCTTGCCAGCTAGGATTTGTTCCAATGCCATAAACAGAGGGATCAAACAAGCATAGTTCAGTTTAGCTACGCTTTCTTAAAACTCCACTCTAGTCCCCACCTTCCCTATCCATCTCTTCATTTTCCCTTCTCTCCCCCACCTCATAACTCCACCAATCTTACCCACCTTCCTTCCTCCTTTTGTCCCATTACCTTCCTATCCCTCAATCTTACCCCAAAATATTTCTTTAAAAACCCCATGCTGGCAGTGACAGGTTTTTCAGCGGTGCAGAAGAAAGGGAAAGCTGAGAAATGGGAGCTGCAAGAAGGGAGAACAGTTTACACAGATCTTCAATGTCATATTTGGCTTCCCATTCAGTTCTAACCCCCATCTTGTTTAGGAACTTCCCATCCTTTCCCTTCCCCACCTTACTGAGAGAGGGTGGTAGTTAACCGAAGCACCAGTCCTCATCACCCTTTGCCCACTCAATAGGTGGCTCCCCTGCCATATCACTCTCACCAGTGATGTTATATTAACTAGGATTGTATTATTTGCCCTATCTGCTAAAAGCCTGCACTAGATTTGTAAGCAGTGTTACGTAGCCATGTCAGTCCCAGAAGAGCTCTGTGTAAGCTTGAAAGCTTGTCTCTCTCACCAAGAGAAATTGGTCCAATAAAAGATATCCGCACCCACCTTGCCTGCACTAGGTTTCTTATTTATATTTTGGTAGTGCCTAACAGCTAGTAAATAAGTAGATTAGACAAAGGGTGAGACAAAAGAGTGTATAACAGAGTGACGTTTGGCAAATGTTCATTCAGTTTGTGTTTAGCCCTTTTCTAATGAATAATTCTTGACTGGGTTTTGGTTTGTTTTACTTCATGTTTGTGAACAACGTTTATGTTTTTCTATACACCAAGGCCAGAGGACAGAGTAGTTCTTACATGGGGAGTTACTAGATTTATTGTGGAGAAAAAGTATAATCAAAGCAAGTTCTTTAATCTATAAGATTTCTCTGGTAGCTGTGAAAGAAACCATATATGCCTAAAGTGGTTACATTCTCAAAGTTATCCGAGGGATTCTCCACTTTACAGTATTCTATAATAGGTTAGCAAGTCAGGCCTAAAATTTATATTGAAGGTTAACAGGCTTGCCTAGCTTTAGGCAATATTCTAACTGCAGTGATCACTGCTTGTGTACGTTTCATTAAATAGCAATTTAGTTATTCATTTATCCATCTCTACAGCTTCCAAAAACATGGCAGTTCACTTTTAACAAAGCATTTAAAAACTAGAAAAGGTTTAGTCTCAGGTTAACGTTTTCAGAAGTACCTAGATGGCATAGGGCTTGTCTACATGAACACTTAATACATGGCAAGCTAAGGTGTAAATCTACGTCACATTACCTTGCTGTGCACTAAGGCCTTGTCCACACTACACACTTTTGTCAACAAAAACTGTGGAGGTGTATGCACTGCAATGCTCCTCCGGCCGATTAAACTCTCCTGCTATGCCAACATAATAAAGACACGTTGACGAGCAGCATAGAGCTTTATGTGACCAAGTTAGAGCAACGTAACGTTAGTGTAGACACTGCGTTTGTTTATGTCGCCCTCAGTGGCCTCTAGGAGGTATCCCAAAATGCCCATCATGACCGCTCTGGTCAGCAATTTCAACTCCGCTGCCCTGCAGCCAGATACACAGGCATGCACCCCGCCCCTTTAAAGCCTCAAGAATTTTGAAATTCTATTTCCGGTTTGCTCAGCGTGGAGAGTTCACATAGCATCTTCCCAATGACCATGCTGGCTTTCCGCAGCAAACGCACTCCCGCCTGGAATACACCACAGTTTTTTGATCTGTTGAGTCTGTGGGTAAAGGAGGCTGTCCAGTCGCAGCTCCGATCCAGCCGTAGAAACTTTGCTCTGGCATAGAGGAGAAGGGACACGAAAGGGGCAAGTAGCAATGTTGTGCTGAGATCAAGAACCTGAGGCAGGCGTAGCAGAAGACAAGGGAGGCCAACCGTCTGTTCTGATGCAGCACTGAAAAGATGCTGCTTCTACAAGGAGCTAGACACCATCCTCAGTGGTGACCCCACCTCCACCACCAAGAGCCCCATGGATACTTCGGGGACATTGGAGGCAGTAGCCAGCAGAATCAACAACGAGAACCAAGTGGTGGACGAGGAGATTGAGCTAGAGGAGATTATGGGACAGGCAACAGGGTGTCCAGTGGTGTGGTGAGTCAGGACCTCTTTAACTCCAAAGGAGTCTAGCCAGTCTCAGTATTCCGGCTCTGGCACACCAGAAGCAGGAGCGTGGAGTTCCGGGATGTACTCAATTTGCTTTGATACTACATAGTGACATGAGGTACAGGCGTCTTATTGTGTTACTTGGTGCACATGGGAAAAGGGATAGAAATTACCAACACTAGTTACTGTTTCCATCTGTTCCTCATTCCCCTGTGCATCTACACAGTGGGGGTCCTGAAGAAAAGTTTGTTAATGCACACCGGGATTTCCTGGGAATCCTATGTAGAAATCTCTAGAAAACTTTCATGAAGGTATTCTGCAATCCTCTGACAAAGGTTCCTTGGCAGAGCTGCTTTGTTTCTTCTCCCATTGTAGGAAACTTTGCCACGCCAATCGTCAATTACTTCTGCAGAAACCAAAGCAGCACACAGACGAGCAGCCTATGGACCTGGTCTGAAGCTACACACATGCAGGAGATGCACCCTTGCATCATTGGTTACCCTCAATAGAGAGATCAGCTTCAATCACCCCGCCTGTGGAAAATGGTGCCAGTATTCAGAATAGTGTCCCTAGGCGCTTCTAGTGATCCCCTTCTGAAACCACCCAGATCCTTTTTCCACATCTTGCATCTTCCCCCCAGGCTGACCTCACCATGTTGAGTGCTCTCACCATGCTGCATATTTGCCAAGGGAAAGCAAGAAAAAAAGTTACAAGCACCCTCTATGATTCAAGACAGAGTGCACTCACAATATTGATTTTCTATTTATTTTTTTTTTTTTTTTTTTTTTTTTTTTGCTTCTGTAGATGTGCCCTTGAGAGCCAGCGAAGACAGGGGCAGGAGCGAATAATAGAGGAGCATGAGTGGATGATAAAGCTCATGGAGGACCAAACAGAGATGCTCAGGTCCCTGACTGCGCTGCAGTTGGAACATGTGTGCTTGACTCCCCCTGCAGCCCATACAGAACTGCTTTCCATGCCCTCGTCAAACTCTCCACAAACATGCCTCACATGGTGCCAGCCCATCACGGTACCCTTTGCACTTCACCCCTAGGGACCAGTTCCATAACAGCTGGATTTATACACAGCTGTGAGAGCCTCATTTGAGAGAGTGCTGCTCAGTGTCACATCTCTGGCAGGAAATGGAAATCTGTGTATTTCTGTTTAATAAAAATGTAGTCTCAGAAATATCATTCTTTATTTGTGTCCTACACATGGTGGGTGCAGCAGAAATTCATACACAGTAGCAAATCAGCACATAGGCAGACTATGATTAAGGCTCAGGCAGCAATATGTACAAGGGTCATTCAAGATGGCAAGTAAACAATGACTGCCTGAATTCATCACAGAAAGACATTTCCAGGGCTCATTGTCAAAATGCTGCTTCAAAGCCTTAAAATGCCCCCTGCTGAGCCCCTCTGCGTCTGGGTGCTCAAAATCAGACACCAGGCGATCCACCTCAATGCTCTACCCCTTGGGAAACTTTGCATAACATTTTTGAAATCCAGGGGGAAGAGTACAGCAGGCTGCTATGACCATGGGAATATTTTCCTCACTGAAGTCTAATCTGCCAAAAAGGCAGCACCAGTCAACCTTTAATCTGCCAAAAGCACATTCCACAGTCACTCTGCTCCTGCTGAGCCTGTTGTTGAAGCTCTCCTTGCTGCCGTCAAGGTTTCTGGTGTAAGACTTCATGAACCACGGGAGTAAGGGGTAGGCTGGGTCTCTCAGGATCACTATGGGCACTTCCATATCCCCTACTGGAATCTTCTGGTCTGGAAAGAAAGTCCCTGCATCCAGATTTCTATATAGGACAGTGTTCCTGAAGATGCATGCCTCGTGCGCCTTCCCTGACTAGCCCGCGTTGATGTCAGTGAAACAACCCCAGTGATTCACCAGTGCCTGCAATACCATCGAAAGTAACCCTTTCTGTTGATACACTCCATCGCAAGATGGTCTGAAGCCAAAATTGAGATATGCGTGCCATCTATCGTTCTGCCACAGTTAAGGAATCCCATTGCTGCAAAGCCATCCATTATTTCCTGCACATGGCCCAGAGTCACAGTCCTTCACAGCAGGAGGCAATTAATGGCACCGCAATGCAGGGGCAAGCTCAGCACACAGTTCCAGGAAAGCAGCTTTGTGCATCCAAAAGTTCTGCAGCC